GGGGGGGGACAAATAAAGATTCTACAAAACTTCTTTCTCGGCACGGTGATTCTCCGGAGAAGGTGAACGGACATGGGCGAGTTGCGGCACGACCCGGAGGTATACAATCATCCCTCTCGTTCTCGCGGCAATCGGCGCGAGTATCGGTCAGACCGATCCATGAAGAATGAAGAAGATGCAAAAAGGAAATATATCGTGAAGAGAAATTTCGTCGGCCATGCGTCAACTCGCCCATTTAGACAATCAATAATCCTCCACCACTTCCCGGCCTCCACGATTGTATGATCATCTAGTAACAAAATCGACGAGTCAATCCTTCGCCAAGTCTTGATCCGTACGTCGCTACCCTGGCGTCCGTTGCGCACCTGATACGCCGGTGTTAACACGAATGTCTCCTTTATAGGTGATGCGATTGTGGTGTATGTAAGGTGTGTATGTATATATGTGTTGTGTGTATGTAGCGTAGTGTAACTCTCCCTGTAACATCGTGCCACCGCTCTCTCTCTCTCTCTCTCTCTCTCTCTCTCTCTCTCTCTCTCTCTCTCTCTCTTTCTCTCTCTCTCTTTCTCTCATCCCACCCGTATTTGCTTAATACGGGTTGTACTTGGTACGCTCAGACTTGAACTTGCCGCTGTCGGTCGGGCCGGGCGCGCCCGGGCTACGTAGCCTCGGCGTAAACGTCTTGTGTGATCGGTGCACGCCGGTGGTCTGGACCGGTAGCGCGGATGCAGCCGCGCCAGCAGCACCACCTAGCAATTCCGTGAGTCCGCCGAGGGCGGTGAGGCTAGATAGGGCGTTGAGGGCTCCTGGCTTGCTTAGCAGCTGAGCCAAGGGGATAGCGCTGGCCAAAGGAGAGGCAGTGGTGGTGGTGGTAGAAGGGGAAGCACTGGCCCCGGATGCCCCGGGAGTGGTACCGCTGCCAGGGGTTTGGGTATTTTGGGCCTCTAGGTTAGCTTTCTGCAGTTCGACACTGGGGAAAAGACACAAAATGTAAAAAGGTGAGGGCGGGAACGTTTCCTCTCGTAAAAACAGTGTCAAAAAGAGATTAAAAACAAAAACATAAGAGATGACGAAAAATAAAGAAGAAGAAGAACGAAAGTAAGAATAAAATAGTAGTAGTAGTAGTAGTAGTAGTAGTAGTAGAAAGAGTAGTAATAGTAGTAGTATTATAGTAAGAGCAGCAATAGTAGTAGTTTTAGTAAGAGTAGTAATAGTAGTAGTAGTGATATTAAGAGTAATAGCAATAGCTATAGTAAGTAGTGGTAGTTAGTAGTTCAGTAGTAATAGTAGTAGTAGAAGAGAGTTAGAAATAGTAATAGTAAAGAGTAGCTGCCGCGGAGAGTTATCGAATAACAACAGATGACGTAAAAGACCATCAGAAGAGAAGAAGTAGATAAACTAAATCATAGAAAGGTTGTAGGCTTAGAGAGTTACGCCAGAGGTGCTTTGTGGAACGTGATTATCACGTACACCGGCTACGTGGTTCGTGGGGAAAGTCTTGGTCGCGTCAGACCGCACTCGGACCCTACCCCGTGTGTTCAGAGTGTTTGGACATTGGGCGGACCGGTGGGCCGATGTGCGTCCCGAAGAGCGACATCGACCCAGTCCGTGACCACGTCCGAGTGTGAAACGCTGAACACGCGAGTCGGCTCGAAATGCCTCCGTGTCGCTAAGGACGCGCAGTAAGGATGTACTATCAAGGTATAATAACACGCGTCTTGCTAGTCTACACTCAGAGAGAATAAGTAACAAGTTCCTACTCGGAGAGAGGGGGCAGTAAAAAAAAGAACAAAAATCACAGGAAAAAATGAAAGAAGAGCATGTCACATCCACCGCTAGTAGTAGATTTGCGAACGAACGATGCGATCGTTTTCTAAGTGTGACGGACGGCACGTGGCTCGTTGTACGATCGAGCGCACCACCGAAAGAGAGAGAGAGAGAGAGAGAGAACAACCCACCACGTTGTTCCTCTCGTCCTACATTGTTTGTCGAAGAAAAAACAAAAAAAAGAGCCAGATCAAGCCTCTCTCTCTCTCTCTCTCTCTCTGCGGTGCGCCGGTAGAACGAGTCGCGGCCGCGCGCGGCTTACAAGAACGAGACAGAAATCAAAAGTAAATTGGGCGCAACGATATGCACTCTGCCGGAAGCCTAAGCGAGCCGTGCAGACGCGTTCAGTCGCCGCGCCTGCCGCCAGCTCTGCTGCTGATACGGCGAGATCGTGAGGGTACGCGACGCGTGTGTCTAACCGCGACTCTGTGGGTGGGTCGATAATTGACTCGTACATCACAAGCGTCCGAACGGGAGGCTGGGATTGGATGGATGGACGGATAAATGGATAGCAGGCAGACTAGGCAGACAGGCAGGCAGGCAAGCAGGCAGATAGGCGGTAGGCAGGCAGGCAGGTAGGCAGGCAGAGTGCAGACCTTGGCCGACATGAGTGCTGGGACACACGATAATGTAATAAACACGATATGATAAAAGTTAAACGGACGAGAAGTACAAGAGGTATCGAGATGATACATATACACACGGCCGCTATTTAAAATGCAGTAGTAAAATGTGAGTGGCAATCTGGAATAAAATATAAATGGATTATAATTATAACGTGTGTATGTATGTATGTATAATGTGTTTGTGTGTTTGTGTGTGTGTAGGCATGTGTATATGCGTGTGAGTGTCGATTCGCGAGTTGATTACTTCGAACAGTATTTCGATTGATGTGCCAGTGGGACATCTTAGCGTGCGTGTCGCGAATTTTTACACCCGTCATCCCCGAATCTCGTCGATGACGGTTAATAACTACCGTTAGCACCGTTTACCACTTTCAACGTGTCGCTACGAAATAGGAAATAGATCAGTCTGACAGCGCAATAAAAAGAAAAGGAAAAAATAAAATAAAATAAAAGAGAGAAAAATAAAAAAGCAAACACGAAGAACCGATCTCTCGAACACCGACCGACGAACGTGTGTGTAAGCGATGGCGAACAACAGCCAGATGAAGCGTGTAACTGAAAACGTAAAGATGCCACGGCGTAAAAGGTTCCTGACAAGGATGAAGGGGGGGAGAGATACTCTTCGCTCGTTACAACCGTGCAAAATAATCGCGTCGTTCGGATAATAATGCACCTGAAAGGTACCTTCTCTTTCACGGCTCCGTACAAGCGAACATTACACTCGATACTCGCAAATCAAGTTAAAACGGTAAAACAGAATTACGAGAAGCGGTATTAAAATGTTAACCCCTCTTGCTCCCGCAAGTATTGCCTCGAAAGCGACATTGTTAATGACGTTACAAGGTCGCAGTTATGCTCTTCGCTTTAGCGTGAAATCGCATTTACATCTGCGTGGTTCCTCTCTCTTGGCAAGGGGGGAGATGCGTACGTAATAGTGTGTCATATATTACGCTCTAGTAATATATATATA